CCACAGCGGCTCTGCAGAAGCCGGAGCGCGGCCCGCGCCTCCTCTCCCCAGCACTGCCGTGGCCTCTCTCCCTCCCCCACCAGACGACCGAGACGGAGGAAGTGTTTGTGCCCGTTCTGAACATAGAGCGCCGCGAGCTGCCTCTGCGAGGGGACAGTGTCTTCTTCCTCCGCAAGATGCACATTCCAGAGTCGCTCCTGATTTTCCGGGACGAGATCGACCTTCACGCGCTGCACCGCGCGGGCCGGCTCTCGCTCGTCCTCGTCGACCACCATGTCTTGCCCAGGTGAGGGAGGGCGCGCAGGCGAGGCTCGCCATGCCGTGGGCGCCGGCAGTGAGCCGCAGAGAGTGAGAAGAAAGCTTCGCTCCCCGAGATCTCACAGGCTGGCCACGAGGGTGGCGCTGGGGGGGGGTCACGCATCCCAGCGGGTGAGCTTTGGCCTCTGGGTCCTGTGCGGTCCTGTTCGGGTCGTAAGTGGCGCCGCCTTGCCGCAGTGAAAAATAATGCAAAGGGAAAGAAGAGCAGGCCCCTGGGGGCGGCGGGTTGGAGCACAGCACCCCGGAGCCGTCCGCAGCACGCGTGCGATCCCCGGCCGGGGAGGGACCCCAGGGTGCAGCAGGCCCCTCCTGTCTGCCTGTTCTGCCCCCCTCTGTCTCCGGGGAGTCCTCTCACCCCTACACCTCTGGACTGCACCCAGCTATTTAATGCATAAATGAATGAATCTTTAAAATAAGTGGGGCCCCAGGCCGACAGGCCGACAGCGGGCACTGCAGCAGGCACTTCACATTCGCACCACACAGGCGACCTCTGGACGAGGCAGAGGTGGAAGAGTCCGGCTGCATTTCCTCCCAGCGAGGGGGGCTGGTCAGGAGCGGCGGGATGCCCCAGCCTGACCTTCTCTTTACTGCCCTGTGGCAGGCACGACGCGGCCCTGGAGGACGCCGTGGTGGAGGTCCTGGACCACCGGCCAGTGGAGCAGAGGCACTGCCCACCCTGCCCCATCACGGTGGAGCTGGTGGGGTCCTGCGCCACCCTGGTGGCCGAGAGGATCCTGCAGGGGGCGCCAGAGATCCTGGATCTGCAGACCGCGGCCCTGCTGCACGGTGAGGCCCTGGGCGAAGACGGAGAAGGGAGGCTGCTGGGTCCTCCAAAGCGCCCCCCACCCCCCTCCAGAGCACCCCCCTCCAGAGCCGCCCCCCAGGCCCTCCAG